TATGGCAGTTTAATTGCTGTCGACATCTCATCAATATTATTTCTATCGAAGAAATAATTCGTCAACGATCACTGTAGTTTCGATTTAACCTACATACCGGCAAAATCTCGATGCTTATATCGGTCTTTTCGGAGACATGTTAAAATTCACGATACATCTTCGATTCCCACCGTGATCCATTCGTCGCAGCACCGGATGGTTTTCTTTTTTTATAACGTCGAATCGAGCGACATTCTATCGACGGCCAGGTACCTATCTCCTTTTTTTTTATGAGAAAAATGAATATTTTACAACGCGCACCTGACAAACTGTTTAAAAACTCAAGCGTGGTGAGACCTATTACACTAAAGTAAAAACCACGGGAGAAATTGTATTTTTTGCTGAAATTTAAATTTAAGTTCTATTTGCATCCATGCTATTCGCGGCATCCTGATTGTATCTCCACTCCTTTTCTCGGATAAAAAGTCTTAACATCGTGAAACTTCTCACGTCCAACTGACTTACGTCTTTTGGTTGTCCCCGCAACTCTCTCCCTCTCAACCCCTCCTTCTCATCCTTCCGTTTTCTCCCGTTTATTTTCGCGCACGATTCCAAATCGCAATTTATTCGCGGCGAGGAATAAAATTTGAAATCGCAAAGTTCCGTAATCATTTCGTGATTATCGACTCCGCGATGCGGAGTTGGCGGATCAAAATAATTCCATACGCTTCGCACAATTTTCTCGTCGCACATATGATGTTCCGCCGACTTGTCGATAATTTTATGCATTTAGCGGATCGCACGAAAAATATAAAAATATTATTTTGAATTGTATTATTCTAATTTTAGAGAAAGGCTTTCGATCGCGTAAAAGTGAAAGCGCGGAAAGAAAGCAGCTCGAAGAATGGATGTACAACTTTTATGTAAGGCAAAGACTGGATGGTGCATCGGCGAGTTGAAGGTTGAGCTTAACGGAAACTCCAGGAGTTTCATTTAAGCGACCCCCCCGTGTAATGAGCGTTGCGACGCCCGTCGTTACAAGTGCGATCGTCGAAATTCTCCTTTCGAGCCGGCACGTATGCAACTGGCAGAAACAACGGACGCTTCTGCGGCTATGCGAAAATTCCGAAGGTACGTACGTCCGTTCGCTCGTCGTTCGTCTCGCCTCGCTTCTCCTCGTCTCGCCGGCGAAAAGAGAGAGAGGCAGAGAGCGTGTATACGCGGGAACTCTAATTCACGCCCGGCATTTCGCGCGGCGTGTATTTTAAGGCTGGTCCCGGCTCTAAAATTCCACCCTTGCCCGAGCGCTCCGCTTGCCCAACCCTTTCTCACTCTCTCTCGCCCCTTTCAATCTCCAACTCTCTCTCTCTCTCTTCTCCTCGCTCCTCGCAGCCGTCGCGATCTCCGTTTCCCTCAAACACTCGTCCTCTTTGTCTCGCCCTTGCTTACTCACGGCACATCACGTTCGTCCCTCTCTATCCTTTCTGCCCGCCACCCTGTGTATCCCGTTCCTCTCTCTCTCTCTTCCTCTTTCCCTCTCCCTTTCTCTCTCACTCTCGTTTCCCTCCCTCGTACGCGGGAATAACGCGAGCTAGGTAGTACGTACGTACTCGGTACTCGGTGGTGGTGGGTATAGCGACTGTGGATATAAAGGTTGTTCAGCGCCGGGGCAGGGAGGGCGACTACGGGGTGAGGTGACGGGACAGAGGAGGACGAGAGCGAGACAAATCGAGAGTCAGAGCGAGCGTGCAAGGCGCGACGGAGAGACAGCGTGTAGCGGCGAATGCGAACGGAAGGAGAGAACCGAGAGAGAGAGAGAGAGAGAAAGAGCGAGAGCGAGGGGGAAGGAGAGAGAGATAGTCGGGGTTCTTGGACTCTGTGTAGTGGTGCAAGGGTTCGTTCGACCCTTAAGGGGTTGTGGCTAGCGTCGGTCCCCGCTGCCCCGGCCCTCAGCCACCACCGCGTCCCCTTTACCTACCGCTACCTCCACCTCTTCCTCCTCCTCCACCTCCTGCGCCACTACTATCCCCTGCCCCCCTCCGACCCCGTGCTCCTACCGCTGCTCGTCGACCACCCAGTTAGCCACCCTCGTAGCCACCCTACGGCGAGCAAAACTACCCTACCGCCGGCGGCCATTTTACTCTCCCCTCGCCCTGGACTCGCCAAATTGTAATCCGAGTCCCTGGAATTCCGGGCAGAGCAGCCGTGGTCCGGCCTCAAAGGAGGCTTCCTTCGCCCTCTCGACATACCCCAGGATAATGATTAACGGAGTACTCCTCTTTCTCGTCCTCGCGACTCCGTTCTACACTTCGTAGAACAAACAGAGACGTAGCCGCGTCTCCAAATAATCGCGCGAAAATCCTTCGTTTAGCTGCGCGACGCGACTATTCGCGGGCAATGTTTTTACAAGCGTGTATCAAAAGCCGCTTCGGCGCGGCAGAATTATACGGCGCGAATTGTTATGCAAATTTCAAACCGCGTGCTTTCTGTATCTTCGTGCGAATGTTGGTAGAATGGAAAGTTTGTTAATGGAACGAAGATCTTTTCAATGCGAAGTTTCTTGATACACAAGTTGCAAGACTACTATTGTACTGAAATTATAGCTATTCTTTTCGATGACAAACTTATTTACCCCATGTTTTGTCCGGATTCTTATTTTTACACTTGAAAATTACGCTTCGTTTAAGCCAATAATATTCTAACCTTGGGATATAATAAACGATATATCGATTGGAAACTAAATTTCTCCAAGATCAATCGTTTATCAGTTAAAACGCATATGTAATGTCGCGAATATAGACGTCTCGCCAATCCAATCGCGATCTGTCCTTAATTAACACTTACACCAGAGAACCTCGGCTCGAACGAGCCGAGAAATGCGAGGACAATAATTTCGTATCTCCACGTACCGTCTTATCTGATTGGGCGGACGGTATCGGCGGGAAATTCACGATTATCTGTTTATGGGACGGTTAATGGGGATCGTGCCGAGTCGCAACAGTTCGGGTTTCGCGTCTGCCCGACATTGGCCAATAATATCGCACGTACTTACCTGACGGCGCACCTGCAACACGCTGTACGAAATTAATGTCCGAGGAAGCAGAAAGGAGAACGGAGCAACACAGGAGCGCAGGATGAGGCCGGAACGATTCCTGGGTGGGGCGTGTTCACTCATACGTTTATTTATCTCGAAATTTTCGAGATTTCAGATTGGCGCATTCGAAGCTAACAATCGTTCTACATTAACTGTGATCACGCGATAAATCTTATCGCACCGATTAATCGGTAGATTAATCGACTAGCTCTTAAATTGTAAAATTAATTCTAGAATATCTTGATCGACGGAGATTTCTTGATGAATTGTTCGGATATTCGTCGATTCTGTAACATAAAAGAGAGAAAGAAATCATTAGACACAGGAAATTTACTTATCAACAGATTGCATTTGGAGTTAAGAATTTTAAGCGATAGCGTGTTTGAAGAATTCTGAGGGAGGAAAAAACGAGACGAGATCCTGTCGCAGAGTTATAAACGGCGTATCGTCTTCGAGCACTATTTATCTAACTCTGGGGATAGATTTTATCGCCTTGAATATAATTTGTTGTGCAGCAACATTAGCGGTCGGCACAACATTTGTCATTCCGTGCGCGCGCCTCTGTGTTGACAGCGCTCGCCTCGTTCGTGGGGTAAAGTTCACCAAAGAAACCGGAATGAAAACTGGATCATCCGGTAACGCAATAGTCCAGGCACACCCTGCGTTGAGTGACCACAATCGCCCGTGTAGACAAATTCGCGGCAGTGGTGGTCAACTGGTTAGAACTATCTATATTAATCATCACTCGCATTCAATATCACGCATAAAAATCATTATTACATTGTAACATACGTTTTATATATGTTGCTTTGCGCATTACAACAGAAATGCATAAAGAATTGCATATGTTTAATGTTTCAAAGTGTTTCATGTAAAAATAACTATTTCCTGAATTAATAAATTCTATTTAATGTAACAAAAGTGTCGTATAAACCAAGTGAAATTTTATTGTGGCAAATTTCACAAACAAAATTAATCCTCTTGCAGGTATAAATATATTCTGTAATTTACAAAAACCTTTGAAATTTTGAATTTGTTTCGCAGCTTGGAGATAAAACAAATAATATACATTTGGATAAACAAATTATCGTGCATATCTCCTAAATATTTTATTGTTATAATTAACTAAATAAGTGTTAGCAAGTCTCTGTGCGAAATAAACATATCATTATTGTCGATTGCTTCAACAAGAGGCCCGAAAGATGTTTCTTCAATAAAAGTGCCGTTGCACACGTCGTTGCGAGCTACTCGAAATGTTTTACATTGCTCCAACTATCGACCCCGCCGACTTATAGGATTCCAGCTGATCGTTCATTTGAAGAACGCTCGTCGGCAACAGTAGACGCGATCGCTCCGTCCAATTTTCCGGATTTCTCGTGCACGAACTTCCGCTCTGAAAACGAATGTGAAACGAGAAAAGGAAGAAGAAGACGAAAGAGGAGCATGTCCTCACGAAGGGAGAAAGGGACCCGCTTCTCCGTCGACGGCTTGCTCTCGGATACACGCGTGCACATATCAATATCGGCCATGCATGACAAGACGCCTGGCTGGACACGCCGATAAAAACGAAGAGGGGCTCCTCTCGCATTCCAACCGCGCCATTTCTACATCCAGTCCTAGCACTTCGACAAAGTTGCGCGATACTGATTCCACTTTGTGTGTAAATAAAGAAGAAAGATTTGTGTTAAGGAAATTTCAATATTTATGTTATGGCAAATAGTATGCTTCATTAAAAACGCGTAAATTAATCGTTTCTTCAATATTTGTGCGGAAAATTGTAATAATAATTGTGGATAATAATAATTTTCTAAAAGTGACAAAATTAATTGTAAAGAGTGCGTTTTGCATTCTAGTGTCCAATTGTTGTTCGAATAAAATTTTAAAGCAGATAATTGATATCGTTTCCGTATATATCGATGTTATTTTTCCGAATGCTTTAATTATAATGATATGTAATCTCACTATAATTGCTACAATATAATGCAAAGACCTGGGTGTACGTAAGCCGCCAATATATGTATACCGATTTTTCCAGCGTATCAATGCAAGGAGAGAGGAATACAAGGATTGCGATTTTCATCTCGATTCGGTCTCTCGCGTCCGCGCGATACGTTAGTAAGAAGGAAATACGGGCTACCTCTCTGGATACTGTTTCTCGTAAAGAAGGGTAATAATCGAAGCGTAGAAAGATGCAGACTCTCGTATATAGTATGCATTACGAGAGCTTGCACGCTTCTTTCACCGAGGAGTCAAGTAGATGCATCGACACGACGATTTGATAAGAAGACTTTTATCAATAATATTATAATACAAAGACTCAACTAATCTTTTTTTTTTTTTTTTGTACAATACTATTTCCTCTGTACTCTTCCTCTCACTATATGTTCCGAGAGGGATTTTTATGGAAATTTTTCACACGAATCTCAAAATACGAGAAATATTTTATGTCGAAATGTTAGTAAATAATAAAAATCACTATGTTAAGCAATAAAAAAGCGTGCTGCAATTATTTGCATTCGATCAACATTATCAGTACGCATTTTAATCCCTTCGTTTGTTTAGAAATTTTGCCCCCACTATATCGATTCGCATATCGAGCAGCGTCGCGCGGGCAAAGTCGCGAGTCTCGGGCGCGAAAATTCCGGCGGCGCGGCGGCGCGGCGCGACGCGACGCGCCGATCTTCCGCGGCCGTGCAATTTCGAGCGTCGAAGGCGCTCACTGCAAAATTCGAAAACGAGCGCGAAAATCCGGCGAATTTCCAGAACAGTGCGTCGTATCGATTCGAGTTTCCGTGGGCGTTGCTATGAGATGGACCCTTGTACAGTTCCGGGAGCAAGCGAGAGCGAGAGAAACTGCACGAGCGAGTGAGAAAGAGAAAGAGAGAGAGAGAGAGAGGAAGGAGAGGGAAGACTTGAGTGTCGCCAAGCTACCCTTCACCTCCTTCGCCTCCTCACCTTCGCGACGACCCACTACCCTCGGGGGAAGGGGCGGCCGTCCCTCGGTATCCTTCCACGGAGAGGCCATCTCGTCCCTTTACACCCGTTATTACTTCTACAAATATACAAGGTATCGCGTTTCGCGATCGAACTCTCAAGGCCGGAGAGGACGCAAATTCGATGGAATCACCCGGCTAATACCGTCTCAAAGAAGCAGTTCACCTTTGAGATCCGCGATCTCTCTCTCTCTCTCTCTCGCGCGAGGATCAGACCTCCCCCCCCCCCTGCGATCCCGCAGTCCTTAACCGTCTTCTTCGGACTCTTGTGCCTCTCCTGCCCCTGCTCGGGTCCCTTCCACCTCCTGATCTTGGATACGACTGCTGCTTTGTCCCCTTTCACGTCGCGTGTCTCGAGTAGGAAATAATGTGAAAGGAAGATCGCGGAGGTGCGCGAGGATCGCCCGTTGGAAACGGTGGTCCCCCGTCGTCCTCGCAACCTCTGAACTTGTGCCGCTGAAGGAGCCTTGAGTCTGCCTGGATAGGAATATACGTCGGGAGATTTGGAGACGATCCAGAGAAATAATGATCCGCGCGGGGGCTTTTCTTCGAGACTCTGTCGCGAGTCGCGCGACTGCGGGCTTTATCGATCGCGGTTGGCGGCCGATCGAGACACCGATGTGCACGGAAAACGCGGAACTTTGTTAACGCGGATCTTGTATCGGAAGCGTCTTTATTAATGATCACCCGCGGCGTCAAGCGTTATTCGTAAGATTAACGACGAGAGTTCCCCGGGCCCGTCGCGGTGGAGTGCATAGCTTAATTAATGATGGAATTAAAATTCGCTTCAGTTTAACGAAGTAATATTTGTTGCTGAAATTTATACAGATTATGTTTTTGCATCCGCGGAAATAATAATTGCACCCTGTTTCCGTGTAATTTTTCATTCAATATTGATTTAATTTAAGAATGGCGCTTGATAGAAACATATCTATTTACAAGAGAATACAAATGGAACACCTGTTCCGAACATAAGAGGAGGTCCAGCATCCGGTCAGGTGAGATCAGAGATCATGGGTTAATCTGTGAGCATCTCGCCCATCCTGTTCTGGACCAGATGTGTTTCATTCAGAGAAATGAAAGAGCTGTGGCTCTGCAGTAACCGGTATTGCAGTCTAATAAAGTGACCGTAATTCAATTCGTATAACTATCATATATATAATATCATTCTTTTTTTATATTCTTACAACAAAGAAATTTCTTTACTTTCTTAATTGTAAATTTTTATCCATAAAAATCTTTTTTTTTCAATTTTTTTATTATAGATTTGAAATCATTGTATTTTTTTTGAAACTCCTAATCGTTTACAAAACAAAATGTTTCATTCGAGACGAAAGAAATTTGACATGTGGATACAAGATTTTTTTCGGGAAAAAAAGGTTCGTATTTCTTTTCAAAGCACTGTGGTGTGATCTTCCGCCTTAATTATTTCTGCCTCTTAAGGTTTCCATGACACACGTACACATCACGCTAGCCCAGACTCACTTAATTGGGTCCGCCATTTTCGGTGGCTCGACCCTTCGAAAAGCTTCTTCCCTCCAGCCGCCCCCCGCTGGTCTTCCTCGTAAAGGAGAGTTCAGAAGGGTTGCCCACCTACTTCGACCCTATGAGGCCTCCGAACACAAGCCGAGTGGCTTTTGTTTTCGCCCCCAGAGAAACCGCCATTTTGAATTTATGATACTGAGAGTCTACGGTGCTCGGACACCGAAAAACTTTGGTCGTTAGTGCAAGTTAAAGACGGACCTTGTGTGATGGTAGTAAAGTATGCACAGTCATTTTCCTTAATGATATTCTGTTGAATGAATGATGTCGGTCGACAAATAACTGTTTGATGAAATAAACTAAATGTACCTATTATTCTTGCAATGTGCAAGCGTTTAGATTGATAATAAAAAACTGATAGTCAATATAAAACCGATGCAAAATAAAGATTACAATAAATAAAAATTTTTCTTAACGATATTCTGTTAGATGAATATTGTCGGTCGACAAATAACTATTTGATGAAATAAATAAACCAAATGTATCTATTATTTTTGCAATGTACAAGCGTTTAGATTGATAATAAAAAACTAGTAGTCAATATAAAACCGATGCAAAATGAAAAGTACATAAATAAAAATTTTAGTTAGAAATATAAATTAAATATTGCGATTTTTGCATTAAATTAATCTAAACGGAAATTTTCTATATAAAAAATAATTCAAGTAAAATCTTCGCACATGACAATAATATTAATCTTAAGAAACAAAATTGTCTTAAAACAAAGTCCATTAGAAAATAATTGTAAAATA